GTTTTTGACATGTGATCTCTTCAACATCACATGCAAAAGCTGTTAGTTCTGCATTTATCACTAGTAGCACTGCTTTTCATAGTAGCACTGCTGTGGTTTTAATGATTTTTACATTGAAACAGTGCCAAAATCTGATGATAAAAACTATTAGTGAATGATGTGTAGTCATCACTGAGAAAGATGGTTTTATAAAATTTACCTGAAATATGAATGTAGAAGAAAAATCATTGTCAATATCAGTCACATCTATCAGAAGATAACTTAATCTGAAACACTGCTTGTTTCATTATTAAACTCAGTTGAAAAGTCTTGTATTCAATTCAGTGCACAGTGTAATTAAATTAAAATTAAAATAATCTGAGCCAGTAAGGAAAAAACGAACTTAACCTGGCCAGTTCGTGTGCCTTCAGATTTTCCCCTTTCAACAGAAGTGCAAACAACAAAGTGGTTTCAAGATTAGCTAGAATATTTCAAATGAATTTTATCATTTTATGCATTGAAACCTGTGGGTTTTTTTTTTGTAGTAAGTAACTACGTTGTAATGAAACTTCTAGTTAACCATCAGTATATTACAACCATTATATATGAATTGCATGCCACAACCTTGTATTTACTTCTTTGTATAATGGCTACAGTTTATAGTATATCTCACCCAGAAAATTAACTAGGTAGATGCCAAACAAAGTCTTGAATGGGATATCTTAACCATTTTAAGCTGGCTTATTGTTCTAGGCAACACATTTTTGTCTTCATTATTTATGCAAGATGCCAGAGTGGCATTTTCAGATCATTTAGGTTTTATTTTAGAATTTGGCTTTCTGAGAAGCCTAAAGACTAGCTTTTATGAGATGCTGAATATTTCTAGATGAAACCCTAAGACAAAATGTTTTAAATATACAACTATGAATTGTGAAACATAATTCAGATTGAATACTAACTAGAATTTGTTTATCATGATGATCTACTTTACCCTGATGAATAAATAATTTTATAATTTCAGAATGCATTGTTTGTTATTTAGTGTACATTTGCAATAAATTACAAAAAGAGTTGTAACATCATACTGCTTGAAAGCTTCTTATGGTTATTGGCATCATATGATTTTAAGATTGATTTGAAATGCTACTAGGGAAAGAACTATGAAGTACAAACATGGTATTCAAGAATGCATTTGCCCTACCTTAAAGATTACATCAACTCAACTATGAGAAAGCATAATGTCCATGTAAAAGAATATATGAATGCAGCAATAGGTGTGAAGTGTTTTTTGTTGTTGTTGTACTTAAGAAGTGTACAACAAATTTGTCAAATTGGCTCGTATACAAATTATGAACTGACTTTATGTTTCCTAGTTACTACTTCAGGAAACAAAACACTTAATGTTAAGTTTGATGTTCATATGTCACTATTTCAATGAAGTGAATGTGCACAATCTTCTGATGTACCTGTTAACTTTCACAACATAATACAAGTTAGACATCAATCTGTGATGTACCTGTTAACTTTCACAACATAATACAAGTTAGACATCAATCTGTGATGTACCTGTTAACTTTCACAACATTATACAAGTTAGACACCCATCTGTGATGCACCTGTTAACTTTCACAACATAATACAAGGTAGATTCCATTCTATCAAGTACCCAGGACCACTCTGAAGAGAGGGATCTGGGGTATTTTGTGCTGGGATCTCAACTTAAAAAGCCTTCTCAATATGAATTATTCTTTAGTATACATATATATATGTGTGTGTGTGTGTGTCTATATATATTCATTACTAGAAGAGTGTCAAATACAATTACTTATTACTGGTATAGAGTAACAAAATATAATCACACATTACCAGCAAAGAGAATCAAATATGGACACTCATTATTAGCAGAGAGTGTTAAATAGATTCCGAGACGGTACTTACCTCCTTTCACAAGATTAGCTATTCTCATTCAGTGCTGCCCTCTATATCACTAGTTTGTGATTGCATTCTGGTACTCTATGTAAAATAAGGAGCTATCATATTTTGATACTCTCTGCCAGTAATAAGTGTTCATATTTAGGGCTGTGTGATTAATTTGATTATCTATGAGCATCAGTTCAATCTATTAATGTCAAAAATAACCAATTAATTGAAATTAGTGTTTCAGGTTATTACTGTTTTCAATTACTCCAACCTATCTAGTATTTATGATTTTTTATTATTGTTTTCTATTAATTCCAGTTTGTCCAGTTTAATCCATTAAGGTCACAAATCACAAAAATAATCAAACAATTGACATTAAGTTTTCCAATTATTACTATTTTGGATTATTTCAATTATCCAAGTAATAAGAATATTGATAACTCTGTACTAGTAATGAGTGTCTGTATTTGATATTCTCTAATAATAATAATAATAATAATGAGTGTTCATATTTGATACTCTCTGTCAGTAATGAGTGTCCATATTTGATACTCTGTGCTAGTAATGAGAGATGTTATAATTTTTCTGATAATGTATTTCCAATGGGTACTTTCTGCTCACAAGATTAGCTATTCTTGTTCAGTGCTGCCCTCAATATGCAAACTTTTCATAACGCATGCTACAAGTCTTGCTCACCCCCCCCTTCTGTTGGAAATATGTTCCAATATGTCTCTTATGCAAATCATCATGCGTAATCTTTTAACCAACAGTAGCATGACATGCTCACATGATGCATGTGACTCCCTCTACACTCTTCTACCAAATCTTCATTTCTCATTTGGCAGGGTTCTAGTTCAGACGTTTTTTGTGTGCTAATGCTAACGTGTTATGACGGGACATTTGTTCCCACCAAAAGTGGTTTCTTTTTTAACTTAACATTTAATTTATTTTCTACCATAACTCATTTCAATTTGTCGCTATCTCTTTTGGCAAAACTTGATCACTTATGAGTTCTGTTTTGTATTATGAATTCCGAAGTTCATGTTACCACTTCGGGAGTCACACCAACAATTAATGTTCAATGACGAGGAACCCATTTTGAGACTAATAATGCTTGGAGATGGCGTGAATGGGTAATGAAGAAAAACTTTAATATAAGTTTAACATAACAGCAAATGTACAATGTTTCTCAGGTTTCAGGTGCTGGCAACCTGACAATAGATCTTTCTACTTTTATACATCGGGAGATGGAACCCTACATGGGTAAACTTTTGTCCCCTGACATCCCCCAGGTTCCTCCTGAATTGGTGGAAATTCGACAGAATGATGAGGATTTTGATCATCTTTTCCTGCTTCCAGAGTTTGCCGTTTCTTCCCACTTGCTACCCTAGGAATTATCTAGGCCTAATTCAGTCTTCACGGTTTTTGTGTCTCAGGTTTGGGATGTTTTATCCCTTTGCTCTGTATATTATTCCCTTGACCTTCTTTATCACATGAAACCTTATCTCAACCATTTTGGTTTTCCCTCCCTTCCCAGATATTCGGGTAAATGCTGATCACTTTGTCTCTCAATTAAGTGAGGGGATCAGCCTGCCCCCCCCCCACACAAGGCCATAAGATGAGCATGCCCTTTCTTACCATTGGATTAGCAATTGTTGTGTTTGTTGTTACCTCTTTCTACCTCTTTTGGGGGGTTTCTCCCAATTATAATGTTAGTTTTCCCCATTTCCAATATTCTCTCCTTCATCTTACCCTAACCACCCATCTACGGTATCTTTCTTCCATACATCTCCTCTCTGAGGCACTCCACAGAAATCCTGAAGGGCTTTCTGTGGATACCCAGCACATTTTTTCTTCCACATCAGCCCGCATTTCTTCCTTGGCTCTGGCATTACACATGTGGTTTCTCTGCTGTTGGGACCTTATTGATAGGGATGCTGTGTTGGCCTGGATCAGTTTACCCACTCCATATCTACAGGACTTGCTTCTTGCCTCATTTTTGTGATGTCATGTTTTTGGTACTATCCCAGAAACTATTGATTGATCTTTGGGTTACATCAGCCCATCAGCAATCCACCCTCATGTCCTTTGTCACCCGTTTGTCTTAGTCAGAGTCTCATATTTCCATATCCAGTCCTTCATCCTTCTAATCCTAACCTCTTTCTACTAATTGGGGATTTCCTCAACAACAAAACATCCATTGTCAACAGTATCTGTGACTACCCTGTGGGTTTGGGGCCAGTAGGAGCTTGACTGTTGGACTTTCTACCTCACTGGTGTCCCTTTGTCCAGAATCAATTGGTGATACAAGTTCTGTCAGAAGGGTGGGGGGGGGGGGGGTGTAAGGCTTGTGTTCTGAAAAGTTTGCATATAGAGGGCAGCATTGAACGAGAATAGCTAATCTTGTGAGCGGAAGGTACCTATTGGAAATACATTATCAGTATAGGAAAATTATAACATCTTTAATTACTGGCACATAGTATCAAATATGGACACGCTTTACTGACAGAGTATCAAATATGAGCACTCATTATTATTATTATTATTAGAGAATATCAAATACAGACACTCATTACTAGTACAGAGTTATCAATATTTTTATTACTTGGATAATTGAAATAATCCAAAATAGTAATAATTGAAAACTTAATGTCAATTGTTTGATTATTTTTGTGATTCGTGTCCTTAATGGATTAAACTGGACAAACTGGAATTAATAGAAAACAATAATAAAAAATCATAAATACTAGATAGGTTGGAGTAATTGAAAACAGTAATAACCTGAAACACTAATTTCAATTAATTGGTTATTTTTGTGACATTAATAGATTGAATTGATGCTCATAGATAATCAAATTAATCACACAGCCCTAAATATGAACACTTATTACTGGCAGAGAGCATCAAAATATGATTGCTCCTTATTTTCATAGAGTACCAGAATGCAATTGCACACTAGGGATAATTTTACATTGTCTTTATTGTATATCATGTTTTATTTCCAGATCAGTTAATCATAGAGTTAATTTGTATTCACTGCAGCTTATGTTTTATTATTTCCTAATGAATTACTTTATGCATTTTCATTCTGCTCCTAACAGGTAGGAAGCCACCAGTCACTCCTACTGTTCCAATGAAGCCCCTGTACTGGACTAGAATTCAGGTTCCTGTCCAAGAGTCAGAACTTGATGGTTCAAGGTCCATAGAACTATATTTTTTACTGAGATAGGGAATTATTGCTAAATGCTAGTTATATTGCTTATACTAGTTGTTAGAATTCGACTCATCAGAGACAAAGTATAAAACACTAACTAAAGTATTATCATTTTTGTGCTACTAATGCTGCAGACTACATGTAAAACTTTCAGTAATGTTTGTAGTCATTACATTTTAAAAGTAATTTTTTTAGAATATGGTACTATAGAAAACTTCCATTTGCAGTTCTTTTGAGAGTTGTATATTTATTGAAATATTTGTACATTCACAGTGTAAGTACACATTAGACCCAAGAATATTTCAGGTATAGACACTGTTGCAAAATGTTTGGTAATCAGATTTATTTTTCAAACAAATTTCAAACATCTACTGCAAGATAAGAATGCAATTAAGTTGAGAAGCTTACATTATTTTTTTATTTTTTATTTTTTTTTCCCTGTATCAGTTGTGACTGCCTATGCTTGTTGAAGAGGAAGTGCATTATCACCTAGGCTACATATGGACTACAGTCACTGCCACAATAAGCAGTGGAGTAGAGACTTTATCACCAGCACTTGACAAATCTAATTGTTTGTTGTCTGGAACTAGAAAACGTTGACTCCAGATTGGTGAAAACACCTTAATTGTGTCAGTGGACACGTAAAAATATACACAATATTCTCTATTGTCTATGTTTAATAACTGGAGTTGTTGACATTTTCAGCAGTTCAAACAATTCAACATATAACTGTTAGATTAAGTTGAGTTGAAACATGTAAATGTGCAGAGAGATGGATACAGTTATTCAAGGTGAAGTTTGTTAGTTTTAGTTTTATATGAATGCAAATTGACTATTATGCCTTTTTTAACCCTTTGCACTGGGAAATACACATCCCTGCTGCACTAAATGGGTTAAGATTCAGTAAGTTTGGTGCCAGAAAGGTGATGGTGTGTGGGGTTATCCTGATAATTTATCCATCTAAATGTTTATTGTGTTTACGCTTCTAGGAATCTCATTCAAGGAAACACAATATAAAGAAAGTTTAAAAAAGGTGCAGTATTATCAGTGAATCATCTCAGTATGCTCAGGCAATTCCATTATAGTGTAATGAATGTGTTGAAACAGATGTCATACAGAACTATGTTTTTGGACTTTTCTCTAAAGGAGGTTCATCTAAATTTGTTGCAGACCACAGAAAATTCAAAGTTTTCAAATGGGGCTTTGCTCCCCACCCCCACCCAAAAACCCTTATCATTGATGCTGTCCATTGGAATGCTATCAGGTGGCTGCCACTCCCTGGATCAGCATTAAAGACTGAATCCACCCCTGTGTTTGTATTGTAGGGAGTTGGGAGATTTCACTACTACAAGTTTCTCAGCTTCAAAGATAAACTTTTGTATTTATATTATTTTTTAAATGTTATATATTTTGTTAGTGTAGTGAGATGCTTTTTTCACCTCAGTATGACATAGAACTTAACTCATTCTTCTTTTTTTATATTGTCTTTGTATTAGAAAGATTTTGATGATTTAATACTGTCGATAAATGGTTTTGATATTTACATTTTCTAGTTTCCAAGAAAGATACCTCAACCTCCACTAAAATACTCCAGCATAACATTAAAAGCTACACAGTAGTCAGTCATGACTATGGATTAGGGTGGTCCTTATTTTTGAAGTTTTGATTTACAACACCCTCACCCCCTCATCTTGTTCCAATATACAAGAAATCACACCAAATATTATACATAGCGAATATCATTCAGGGGCTGCTCAAGGTAGTTGAAGTTTTACTTTGTAGTTCACATTATATCTGCAAATTATGAATATTCTAAATTCTAGAAGGTTCTAGATTATTCTGGAATGTTCTAGCATATTATTATTAACTTTTCTATAACATTCTAGAATATTGGAGCATATCCTGGAATATTCCAGAGTACACCACATTATTCAAAATGTTCAAGAACATTTCATATATATGATCTGTGCTGTCACTTTCTGTTTCTGGAATATTCTGTATGACATGACAGTATTTTCCAAAATTTCTACAAGACAGATTCAGGTCAGCTAACCTAGAGGTGATTATCAAGAGCTTCTTGAATAGCTGTAACTTTTCTAGGTGGCATCCACCATCTTGAAGTCTGATTTATAGCACTTGAAGCACTGTATCATGCACGATGGCTGGCCAAAGAATTATATGCCTTCATTGTCTGGATGTTTATGAGACAGTTTAAGCTCACTGGCTGTGAGGAAAGGGGACTTAATGACATCTGCATCTTGCAATGCTCTTAACTTCCTGCAATGCCTTGTTAATTATAAGAATGTAAATCCTGCTGTTTTAAAATGTGCATGTCAAATATTCCAAAACATACTTACCTCTGCTGACACTATAACTATTTCTCGATCTCCAGGGTTTTTGCTCTTTGCCCATCTAAGCATTGAAAACACTTGTTCCAGTCTTTATATACCCTGCTCGACTGCCCTTGGCAAATTCTAATTTGCAAATTTCTCCACCAAATTCAATGCTCCCTCTATCTAGGTACTGTATATAGGCACCTCATTCAGATAATGTAATCACATTTTCTCGACAAAACGTTCGGTACAGGTTTCTATAAACAGAAGTGTTGTGATTATTCACATAATTTATCTTGTGACTTTGGACATAATTGGCGTGACTACAGTTATATCTACGCTTATATTTATAAATTAATTAATTAAAAAAAATAACCAATGGGTATGAATTCCTGAATTAAAGTTTCTACTACAGAGGCCAACCAGACATCTTCTCTTTCATCTCTGCTATATGATGTTTGTCATTGGCCAGGTGAGGGGCCACTCTCAGTTGAGACTGTTTGCGATATGATCCATTGCGAGATGGAGTCATATATGCAGACTGAGGGTGTCTCTCCAAGGGGTACCGAGTTGGCTTTTGCAAATGACTCGGGATCAGTTGGAGAGAATTCATACTTTTTCCAGCTCCTTTTTTTACAAGGTCAGCCTCAACAGAGAATCCTTTTGATCAGCCACCTCCAGCCCCTTTTGTCCAGTTTGTTACTCGGGTTTGTGAGGTTTGGGGGGTTATTCCTATTGCCTTTGACTCTACTCTTTCCTTGTTAGTGGAAAGGATGGCTAGAAACTACTTGGTTTCCTCCTTCTCCTGACATTCCTGTTCATGCTGGGAGATTTGCTGCTCAGTTATGCAATGAGATAGCTAAGCTTTATTCCCCATGTTTATCCGAACAGCATGCTTTGGCATTTCACCACCAGGAATATTTAGATTCCTAATGGATGGAACCATTTTTCAATCTGTGGGGTTCTAGATTGGAACCTGTGATCACTTTGAACAGACTATAGTTTTCTTGGATTTGTCTTACACTCAATACTGTCCTGAGGTATTTATCTTCGATCCAACTTTTGTTGAAAGCCTATCAACATTCCCCTCAGCAATTTGAGGACAAGTTGGGGACTTTGCTGACATCTACTTCAGTCAGCTTGTCTTCTTCAGTTCTTTCTCTGGTTTCTTGGCTGGTTTGTTGTTGGAATTTACTGGGAAGAGATGTCTTGTTAGAAATTGTTCGTTTCCAATCTTCTGCCCTCAGGGAGTTATGGGAAACTCTATTTCTCCATCTCACGAGGTTTGCCGGAATTCCAATGATGTTGGAATCATGAAATGATTCAGCTTGTTTACATTCTTCTTTATCATTGTTAGCTTCTCACCTTTCTGATGCTAATTTAGGAGTGTCAGCTCGTAGTGTTTCCCGACCTCCTCCTTCGGGTTCCCAGGTCTATTGGTTCCCATAATAAAGTCTGTCTGTATTCTCGAGGATCTTCGACTCGGACGGATCATCAACAATGGCGTCAGTGACTATTCTGTGGGTGAAGGAGCAGTGGGAGCACGATTTCATCACTTTCTGGACATCTAGAGCTTTAACCTTTCTCTTAAGTTGTATTTTTTGTTGTTGTTTGCTTGTGGATGTTGTCAGTCGGAGTTGTTTGCACTCCATGTGCATTGGACTCTTTATCAATTCACATTTCTCCTGCTTTACCCCAACGAGGTCTTTCAAAGACTTTGGCAGCTAGGGAAAGGGAAAGATCCTTCTCACCAATAAATTTGTCAGCCATTTCTCACCTTTATAACCACTCCAATCCTGATTGTTTGTTATGTCCTGTTAGGACCCTCAAGTGTTATGTGGCTCATACTAACTTTTTTAGAGGTTGTAGGAATCGATTGTTCATTCATTAGAAATCTTATATTTCTTGTGACTTATCTCCCATTACTCTAATGTGGTGGTTCTGTGAATTGATTCACATTGCCTATAATGGATTATCATTACAGGAGAGGAATCTTTTGCATGTTACTTCTCACCAGATTCGTTATATTTCTGTGTCATTAGTCGTCCCGTTGAATTGCCCTCTGGAAGACAAACTGCAGGCTGGTATGTGGACCACTCTTAATACTTTCCTATGATATGCCTGTAATCTCTATAGTGGGAAAACTTTGTTGTACATACGTTTTACTTGTTCTAAATAAATATATATATATTGGCAAAAAGAAGAACATATATATTATATTATTAACAAAATCTGACAACCACCATACTGTGGATATGTGATTAAGCTGATGCGAGATTAATCTTCACTTTGAATTCACACTGCCTTATCAAATATTTAGAGAATACCTTCAATAGCTGGTCAGTTCACTACCAGTGGCAATTACAGCTGCAACATGTTTCCGCATTGATTCCACTAAATATTTACAGATAGATGTAGTGATATGGGACCATTTGTTGCAGCTCTCTGTGAAATGTGGGTAGTAGTGAGCTGTGTCTGCAACATATCAGGATCATCCTGGATGTGCTCAATGAGTTTAATATATGAGGACTATGGTGGCCAAGAAAGGTGGCTGGGGTCCATCTCATTTTCATAAAACCACACCATCCTAATTCTGGCTTTTTATGCTGTAGTATTGTACTCCTTGAGTATGTGGACCAGTAGTGTGCATTGTTAAGTGTGCCTGTTCAGAGATGATATTAAGGTATGCCATTACATTATGCGTACCATCTAGATGATAAAAAGAGCTGTCCCATATCAGCAAAATTTATCCAAAACCAGGGGCCTGAACAGTTAGATACATGTTTCTTCTATCAGTGTTAAATAGTCCAATCTTTTCATTCATGGCACCACTGTAGGCAGATTTAGCAGTTATTCTCAGGCACAATTTATTTGTGGTTTGCCACTCTACTTTGAATGCCAATTTTTTGCAGCTTCTGGTGCATGGCTTTCATGAACACAGGTCTGTCACTGTCAATGTTGAAGTCTGTGGTGAGCTTTTCTATATGTGACTGCCTATTTCTTCTCACAAAATGCAAAATCTGCCAGCCGTCCTTTGGTTCAGTAGCTTCTTGCAGCCTGAATTGCACTTTCTGATGATTGTTTATTTATTCACCAACCACTGCTTGTAAACTCTTGAGACTGTAAGAATTGACACATAAGCCAGGTCTGTTGTTGCTTTCAATGATGCACTAGAGGCACATGCACCATAAATCACATCTTTTTTGAGGTCACTTCTTTCCCAACAAGGAAAATGCCTTGTCTGCTACGGCTTTACATTTTTCAGGTATCAAGGGACATGCTGGGCAATTCACACCATTTAGGACAGGATGGGTCACTTCTATGGAACATACCATTCTCTAATATTATGGTAGGACAGTATATATATATATATGATTGGGGTTGTTTATGAGACTCCAGGCTTGTAAGCCTTCATATTAAGACTTAAGACCTTTGATCAAGTTGCTAAAAGATTGATATAAGACTTAAGACTTATGGTTGACTTGGATGTCTTATTTCATGACCCTGGACCTCTGCTGTAAGACTGAAATCAAGACTTATAACAATGTATAAGTGAAAGTAAAGAAGAATGGATCAATGTGAGAACCATAGTATATCTGTTATATCTAGTGCAAACAAGGCCTTTCATCCAATAACAGGGCTCATAAGGGCAGCTGGGATATGACAGATGTAGTAGTAGTCTAGATGCTACGTATATACTCAGTTACTTGAACAAAATGTTTCAGTGTGAACTAGATTAAGTTGGTGAACTGTACCTTTTATCATTTGTATTTATATCATAGTCAATTGATATTAAGGCTCTGAACATATGATAAAACTGCTGTAAGATTATTTCAAGACACTGCACCTATGATTGAACTGTTGTAAGATTGTAATAAGAGAACATAATATCGCATGTAGTAATTAGTAAAAAACGAAAATTGAACAAACTATCAGAAGACTAAATTAGTGATACTATTTTTGACACATTTGTGCATCCATTTCAGTCTCACATTATCTTCTAGCAAGAAAACTAGTCAACAGGTGGTCATAAAGCATAACCTTTCTTCTAAGAAAAATTATGTAGGGCAAACTGAAAGAAGCACTTTTTCTTTTCATTTGAGAGATTCTGACAATCAAATTGATTGGAAATCAACAAAAATTTTAGACAAAATGAATAACTAAATAAACAAAAGATCTGTCAAATGTTGCGTAATTTCAACACCTCCTAAGGTTGTTTCAAGCTAAACAGCATTCTGACTGCATGTGTCTTTAACTCTTTTTAAGCATAGGCTCAGTACCTGGGATCAACCTTATAACCATTTTGTACTTGTTATAGTCTTCATGCTATAACTTTTCAAATAGTAATCGAATGTTAACAAAATTTGGCAGATTATCAAGAAACATTACAATGCTTTCATATGCAAAATATAATTTTTTTTTTTGTTATCAAGTCTTAAGGTTTGTAAAGCAATGTATTTCTCATGCTTTTTTTTTTTCTTTTTGTCATGTTGGATAGACAACATGCAAAGTAATTTTCATCTTAAGATTAAAAATACTTTTATGCATCAGAAAATTTTCAAATTTCACATGCAAAATCATTATAATGTCCAGATATTCTTTGATAGATAGTTATCAAATGTTTCTTAAGAAAAAACTTTATATTTTATCTCTTATTTTCAGTTACAAATCTCTGTATGGGTTCGGTAGATTTGACTATCTC